CAGCCTTTCAGTTTGCTGTTTGAGACTTTTTGGTTTTAGGCCTAGGATTGGCGGGTAAAATACAGACCGTGCAATTAAATTTGAATTTCAGATGAGCAAAGAATATTTTTTAAAATATATATATATATCTATCCCATGCAATGTTCGAATTTATCTGAAATTCTGCCTTAACTGGGCGTCCTGTATTTTCATTTGCTAAATCTGGCTCTTCTGCTCAGGACCCCTTTGCACGCTTAATAGATAGCACCAGAGGCATGGATATGAGGAGCAGACTGACGGCTCTCCGAGGGGAGGGGGGGAACTGGATGAAAGAAGGTGAAGGGATCATCCAAGGGCTATATATATATATCCTACAGACACGGACAACAGTGTGGTGATAGCCGGAGGGAAGTGGGGGGCTGGGTGGAGGTGCGTAAAGGCGGGGGAAATGGGGACTTTTGTAATAGTAACTTTGTAATTATAATTTAGACCCCTAAGTATTTTTGTTTATATAGATTATATCCATGGACATTTATGTGTTAGGAGTTGAAATAGCCATTTCAGCATAAGATGCCAAGCACACATTTATTTTTTTAATCTATTTTTATTGATTTCAGAGATAAAAGGAGAGGGAGAGAGAGATAGAAACATCAATAATGAGAGAGAATCATTAATCAGCTACCTCCTGCACGCCCCCGACTGGGAATCGAGCCTGCAACCCGGGCATGTGCCCCTGACCAGAATCAAACCTGGAACCCTTCAGTCTGCAGGCTGACACTCTATCCACTGAGCCAAACCAGCTAGGGCAAAGCACACGTTTATTAACCATTGAGTGATGTCGTCATACTTGGGTGATGTCATCATATGGCCTGTAGCCCTCTGAACAGTATGCCAGTGCAATGAGAGTGGAAAGGCAAGTAGCTTGGCACTGTTGGGAACCTGTTTTGACCCCAAGGACTCCCTGCAAGAGTCTTGGACCTCCCTGGACCACAATCTAGAACAGGTGGCTTAGGACCAACTCATGATGAAAAGCCAGCCCCACCAGGAAAAGGAATCTCTCCTCAGCTTCACTTGGTAAAGTTGTGGTTGCATATCTGTGTCCATGGTCCTGGGGCTTGGGGACTTGATGTTTTTGGCGAGGTCTTGATGAATGTGTTGGTGGTGTGGGCTGAGTGGGAGAGGGGAAAGGCCAATGGGTTGAATGCCTATGACGTCATGAAATCTCAGTGCTTATGACCCCCGTAGAACAAGATATTAGTGTTCCTGTTTTACTGTTAGCTGATCAACAGAGGAGCCATGATGTGGACTGGCTGCCAACACGGTGGCTGCTCTTGGTGTCATATCTGGACAGGCCTTTAGAGCAGCCTTGGGGCTGGGCTGTGGCTCGGTCATCCTCTCTCTGAGTCAAGGTTTTCCCAACAGTAAAACAGAATATTAACTATTCTCCAGGGCTGTTATGGGGATTAAGATCAACTGTAAAAGTGGTTGAGGAGAATAGGTAAAGAATGCTGTTCCCTTATTTTAGAACGATGCACTCTGTGAGGGGCATCTAGGTATGCACTTTCATGCTCCCTAATTTCTTTCTCCTGGTAATGTATCCCTCTCTGCATCTGATCTCCTCTCCAAAAACACCAAGTCCCCAAACCCCAGGACCATGGACACAAATATGCAACTACAACTTTACCAAGTAAAGCTGAGAAGAGATTCCTTTTCCTGGTGAGGCCCCTGGTTCATCAACTTCCTCTCCACCAAAGGACGCTATCCTGGGTGGGGTAATAGCCACCTGCATAACCACCCAGCATCCCCTTTTCTCCATTTCCCCTCATTCCACTGATCACCATCTTCTGTTCTTGACAGCTCCCTGGTCACACCCTCTACCCTTCTGAAGAACTACATTTTTTTCCTTGTAAAAAATTTTTACAACCTTTTAAAATGAAGTATAATACACATTCTGTAAAGTATCCTACTCATTCCTGCACAACTTATCACAAAGTAACCTCACTTGAGCAACCAAATTAAGAAATAGAACATTACTACCATAAGAGGAGTCCCCTTGCACTTGCCCTATACACCGAGAGGTCCACTAGCATGACTTCTAACACCATAGATTTTGTAGACTCCCTTTGTCAGGTTAAGGAAGTTCCCTTCTACTCCTATTTTTGTCACAAATGTAGAATTTTATCAAATCGTGTGCCGTGCCAGCACAGCCAAGGGTGAACCTGAGGAGGGGCGGTGAAGGATTGAAGAAAAGACAGACAAGAGAATACAGCTGGGGCTCGGTGGATCTCCCGTGCCTGGATGAGGACATAAAAGACCCAGCCTGCAAGCCGATGCTTTATTTTATAGCCTGATTAAAACAAGGGTAGATTAACATGTATAGAAATGTTCTTGTTTTGGCAATACTTGCTGTACCTCCCACAGTCCAATATCTACTTAGGAAGGAATTAGAGAGGGCTACAAGGTCAGGCTTAATTATGCTAGGAGAGCTCTGCCCTCCAGGCTGGGACTTGTTTGTGGCCACAGGTCAACCCAAGGCTTGACTCTAGCCGCTCCCTACAAAATAGTTTTCTCTATGAGATGAGCATAATCCTTTTTCTTTTTCCTTTCTCTATTAACTTACAGATTATACAGATTTCTGAATGTTAAATTAACATTGAAACTCCTGGAATGAATCCAACATGGTTGTGATGTGCTATTCTTTTCACACATTGCTGGATTTGGTTAACTAATATTTTAAGATTTTTGCATGTCCATGAGTGAGTTGGGTGTATAATCTTTTTTTCTTGTAATATCTTTGTCAGACTTTGGCATCAAGGTTATGTCAACCAATGTAAGGATTTGGGATTTTATTCTGAGTGATACGGGAAACTATTCAAGGCTCTGACATGTGCTGATATGAAAAGATGTCAGATGTAATTAAGAGGGGGGATAGCCATACATTTAACCAAGGAGGTGAGAGAACTACATTGAAAACTAGAGACATTAATGAGAGAAATTGAGGAAGACACGATAAATGGAAAGCTATTCTGTGCTAATGGATTAAAAATATTGATATAAAATGTCCATGCTACCAAAAGCAACATATAGATTCAATGTAATCCCTATAAAAATTTCAATGGCATTTTTCAGAGAAATAGAACCAACAATCCTAAAATTTGTATGGAACCACAAAATACCCCAAATAGCCAAAGCAATCTTGAAAAAGAACAACAAAGCTGGAGGCATCATGCTCCCTGATTTCAAACTACATTATAAAACCATAGTATTCAGAACAGTATGATACTGGCATAAAAACAGACACATATAGATCAATGGAATAGCCTAGAAATAAACCCATGTATATACATATGGTCAGTTAATTTATGGCAAAGGAACCAAGAATATACAATGAAGGAAGGACAATCTCTTCTATAAATGATGTCAGGAAAACTGGACAGCCACATGCAAAAGAATGAAACTGGACCACCACCTCCTACCAAAAAAACCCCCACAAAAATTAACTCAAAATGGACTAAAGATTTGAATGTAAGACCTAAACCATAAAACTCCTAGAAGAAAATATGTGGTAAGCTCCTTGACATCATTCTTGGCAATGATTTTTTTAAAAAACTGATACCAAAAGCAAAGTAAATAAAAAAAACTTCTACACAGCAAAGAAAACCATCCACAAGATGGGTAGGTTACCAAACCGGAGAAAATGTTTTGCAAATCATTTATTTGGTAAGGGGTTAATATCCAAAATATATGAAGAATTCATGCAACTCAATAGCAAAAAAAAAAAAAAAAATCTGATTTTTTAAAAATGAGCATAGGGTCTGAATAGACATCTTCCCAAAGAAGACATACAGCTGGCCAACAGGCACATGGAAAGATGATCTACATCACTAATCATCAGGGAAATGCAAATCAAAAACCGCAATGAGATATCTCCTCATATCTTTTAGGATGGCTATTATTAAAAAAAAAAAAGACACACGTGTTAGTGAGGATGTTAAGAAAAGGAAACCTTGTGCACTGTTGGTGGGGATGTAAATTAGTGCAAACACTATGGAAAACAGTATGGAGGTTCCAGTCATAAAAAATGAAAGACAGCTTGCCATTTAGGACAACATGGATGGACCTTGAGGACATTATGCTAAGTTAAATAAGTCAGACTGAGAAAGACAATACCATATAATCTCACTTATATGTGGAATCTCAAAAAACCAAACAAACCTAACACAGATAACCAAGGCCCCCCACACGGGGCCGGGCCTGCAGCAGGACCCTCGGTACCCGCCTGCGCATGCGTGCGGCTAACGGGATGGCTGGTTGCTACCCAAAATATTACCACAATGGAGGGGTTCCCCAGGGTTTTTAATTTTCTTGCTTCTTTAGACTATCGATTTCTCGTAAGAAAAGGTGCTTAGAATGGGCCGAGCCAGATACAGAGAACAGACTGATGGTTGCCAGAGGTGGGGGATGGGCAAAATGGGTGAAGGGGGTCAAGAGGTATAAACTTACGGTTATAAAATAAACAAGTCAAGGGGATGTCAAGGGCATGGTGACTATAGTTACAATACTGTATTGCATATTTAAAAGTTGCTAAAAGAGTAGATCTTATAAGTTCTCATCACAAGAAAAGAAAATTTTGAAACTATATATGGTAATGAATGTTAACTGTACTTATGTGTGATCACTTCACAATCTATACAAATAGCAAACCATGCCCTAGCCGGTTCGGCTCAGTGGATTGAGCGTCGGGCCTGCGGACCGCAGGGTCCCAGGTTCGATTCCGCCTGGGTTGCAGGCTTGGTCTAATGTGCAGGAGGCAGCCAATCAATGATTCCCTCTCATCATTGATGTTTCTATCTCTCTCTTCTTCTCCCTTCCTCTCTGAAATGAAAAATATATATATTAAAAAAAACAACAAGTAGCAAACCATTATGTTGTACACCTGAAAGTAATTAATGTTATATATAGATTATACTTTATTATAGCTTTTTTTAAAAGGGGAAAAAAGCAATTTACAGAATAGTATATAGAATATGATCATTTTATGTAAATTTAAAAGCTCCATGTATGTGATGGGTACATATTTTTAGTCCTTTAGACAAAGAACTTGACAATTGATGGCAACAGAGGTGGTGAGGAAGGGAGACTTTCAATTTTCACTTTGCACTATTTTGTATTGTTTAAAATGTTTTGACACGTGCATGCATTTTAAAATTTAATTACAAGAAGAATGCAGAAAAAGAAGAGAAAAAGGAGGAGGCGGGAAGGAGAAAGTATCCAATGGAAAAGGAAATGAAGGCAGCTTTTTGGCCCTCAAAGTTGTCTCCTAGCTGGAGGTGGTGGTGTAGAGTGGATAGTACCGGCTCAAGGACTGGCAACCGAACCTCGTCATGCAGCTCAGCCCCTCTGCAAAGTGAGGATGGTGTTGCCCACTCGGGGCCGTGTGGAGATGTGAGCAGTTTCTGTGCTTGGCATGTCGTTCTAAGTCAGTAAGTGTCTGCTCCCAGCCCCTCCTCCCT